CATTCGATATTTCTCTGGTAATCTATTAATATTATCAATATCATCTAGATAATGATGTGAATCAATTAGAATTGTATCATTTTCATATAAATTTTCAATATTACATAATAAATTATTATCTTGATCTATACATAATTCTTCTGAATGTAATAAAATAATAAGATTTTCTATTTTAATATCAAGTAATTGCTGAATATACGAACGAAAATCTCCTAGAGTCCATTCAGAAACAGGAAATTGACGTTTACAATAAAATGATTTTAAATTACATTCAATTCTTAGAATTATATTTTTACTCATCTTTGTTTCTCACTACGACAAAACACTTTCAATCGATAATTAGATAAATTTAAAAAAAGAAAAAGAACATCAATTGGCGCTATTAAACACGAGAAAAATTTATTTCAAATTAAAAAATGAAAGGAAAAATTTGATTTTTTGTTCGTTTTTCTTCATGTTGTTGTGGAAAATCTAAATGATTAGTATTATTAGTTGGATTTTGTAAATGATCTATATTAAAATGATGATGACAATGACAACGACAACATTGAAATGATGTTGGAATTGTACACCATGCAGTAACATCAAAATTTGATATATTTAATTGATCATTTGGAATTGAACTTATATTAGATAAACTTAAATGAGATGTTGAATTATTTGAATGTATTTGAGTTGATTGAAATTGATGAAAATTTTCATTTGATAAACTTATTGATGATAGATTTTTATCATATGATATTCCTGAATCTTTTGAATAAGATAAAGACCATGAATGACATTCACTTAAATCGACCTAAACACATATTTTTATTAAAAGACTGATTGAAGAGACTAAACAAAAACAAAAAAAAAATCATATTTACATAATCATTATTTGTTGATGATTGTTTTAATTCATATGATATATATTCATAATCTTTTGGTTTTGATACTGAACAACAAGATGAAATTTCTAAAAAAAAAAGAGAGAAGAAAATAATTGAACATTTTTTGAAAAATCTAAAAAAGAATAACTAACTTGTTTTTGTAGAAGTTTGTTTATCTTGTGATGATGATCGAATAGTTTGAATAGCATGAGCAATTTTCTATGAAAAGAAACAATGCAAAAATAAGTATCATATCATCGATAGAGATTGACTTACTTGTCGTATAGTTTTTGACATATTGTATTATGAATTAGTTAATGATTGCAATTGTTGTTTATATAGGGATGAAGAACGAGTGTCTGTTATAGAGATAAAAAAAAGAATCAAGTGTCAAGTGATTAGCTGTTTTTTTTTTAATGCTCATCCATTTTTCTTTTCCATGGCTAACTTATCTCTTTCTTGACTAATTAGATACGTCTATATTGTTGAGTGTAATTAAATATTGATAATCT